ATTTATTTTTTTAAATATAATTATTATATTTAATTAATGTTTTAGAAAAACTGATAATAAAATCTCTCTAAATTATATAAATAAATTTTTTTTGAAAATGTCATGTTTCACTAAAGCCTTTAAAGATTTCCATGTCAATAAATTTTAAAATAAAAAATTTATTTTACTCTTATTAAAAATAATAAGTTTTAATCACAATTTTGTTTAAAGAAAAATAATTTTTTTGGTAAATTGTTAAAATTAAATAAAAAATTATAATTTGTTAAATATAACTTTTATTATTGAAAAACTTCTCAAAATAACAAGCTCCAACAACAAATTTTGCTTAAAAAACTAACTTTTATTTTGTGAATTACAAGAGTTAAACAAAAAATTACAATTTATCAAGTATAATTTCTATTATTAAAAAAAATTTCAAAATAATAAGTCTCAATTATAATTTTTGTTTAAAAAATAACAACTTTTATTCAAAAAATTACAAGAATTAAATAAAAAATTATAATTTGTCAATAAAAATAAAATGATCTTTTTAATTTAAAATTTATTGATACAAAAGTTTACATGAATTTAAATAAAATTATGATATTTTAAGAGATTAAATTATTAGTTATACAATTGAAGAGAATTTTATTGTCATTTTTTTATTTTTTTAATTATGTGAATTTATTATTTTATTATTATTATTTAGAAAAACAGAGAGAGTATAGAATTAGAATTTTTTTAATTAGTCGTCATGGGTTCTGAAGATGACAACGAAGATAGTATCATTCATTGCTTCTTGTAATCAAAAAGCCATCTACACTTATCAAATTTGAGAGTTTATAATTATTACGAGACACTCTTTTACTCTGTTAAAGTTCCACATATTGTTCCTTTTGCCTGACTGATCCTTATCACGTCCTTCTTTTCTTTATTATTATAATGAAAAAAACAATGAAAAAAAAATAGTAACTAATTATTATTAAATTCAAACAAGAAGAAATTCTTTTACTTGACCCAACTTTTATTTATATTTATACTTCCTCTCAATTTTTCTGTCATCTATCGATCGATCCAGAAGTTCATGTATCGATTAGTAAAGTTGACTTTTCAAAATTTTTAAAGAGTTAATTTTTTTATGGATCATGAATTTTTTTTATTGGAGATAATTAAATTCTCAAACAGTAAATATGAGCACCTTTTTTAATAAAAATTTAAATTTTGATTTGTTATGTTAGAAAGGATTAACTTTTCTGCTGAACCCAAACTTTTCAATTTTTTTTTAAATTAGTAATTGGTAAAAGTATGAATTTGATCTTGTAACTTTATATAAAATTTCACTTGGATCCCTTGATTTTATAATTTTTTACAGTCTTTTATCCTAACACTATTGGTCTTCTTGACCCAAAAAAAAACAAAAAGAGGAAGCCAAAATTGTGATTTTAAATACTGAAAAATATTTTTAAATGTGACCTATAATTTCAAAAATTTAAAATGATTAGATTAAAAATATCATCATTTTAGAAATTTTCATTAGCATTTAAAATTGCAGTATTAATATTTTTTATTAATAAATTGAAAATTAATTATATTAGAATTATAGAATTGGAAAATATATTTTATAAAATTAAATAATCCAGTTAAAACTTTTTATAAAGTTAAATAGTCCAAAGTCAACTTTTGCCAAATTAAAAAAATTACATATATACTGCTTAATATATATATATATGTATGTATGTATGTATGTATGTATGTATGTTAGAAAATGATTGGCGAAAAGACCATATAGGCCTACATCATAAACAAAAATCACTATAGAAGAATATTATGAAAAATACTTGATGGAATGGTACATCATATATAGTATCTAGGTTGAAATTAAAAATGAAAATATTACCTTAAACAATTTGAATTTTCCTTGATAATAATGATAATGAAATTAAATGCTCTCAATGTGGAATTAAAGAATAATTCAACGAATTAACGACAAGTGAGTAGTACTGCACACTTGCATAGTTGCATGGAATTGGCTACTTCCAACATAGAGACGTGTTTTCACCATACAATCACATTTCAAATCTCTCAATCATTTCCAATTTTCTGTACATATCATAATTTTCAAACTCATTCACATTCGTGTGTGTGTGTCTATATATATGTATATATATCGCTTTTAACTCACCAAAATAACATCAAATCAATATACTCCACTTAATCTGATACATTGGCCTTTGATTAATTATATTAATGCTTGTATCGGGTCAAGTGATCATGACTCAATTTTCGTTTTACTAAGTATTTGCACCTAAATTATAAATTTAGAGGAGCTCAACTCAACTCAACTCAACTTAATTGATCTTAAAATAATTAAAAATAAATATTTATAAAATTTTAACCACTAAATCGATATCAAGTTAAAGCCATTATCTTCACATTCCGCCTACTATGATGAGTAATCACAATAGAAAAAGTTCTTTTTAAATTTAAGGAAAGTGGCTATAAATAGAGGAGTCATCTCTTATCAAAAGAGATCATCATCATCAATAAACTAATGGTCAAATTTTCAAACTTCGAGTCTACTACTTTATTTTTACTTTTATCATATAGTTTTAGTCCTTATATTTTTATTGTACGGCTGACATAGCTTATCACCTCTTTCTTTCATTAATGTATCTTTGTTTTCATGTATTTATATTAATTTTCTTCACTTCGTATTTTTGCATCTAGATGAACTGTGGTAAGGGAGCCTGAATTCCTTACATTTCATTAGAAGTCAGGTTCTCCAATCATTTTGAGATCTCACGTTTCTGGCACGCCTTGCGACACTTTTTTAATTGTTCATAGAGAACAATTTTTCAAACATTGTGGATAGAAAAAATCACTTAAAATTAAAAGTTGTGTCTTGAATCTAATTTAATAATACCGAATTCCAAATGGTTCTATGGATTAATTATATATATATTCACGCTTGTCTGCATCGGCTCTTCAATTGGTAGCATTATACGTTCATGCACTCCTTGAATTTCCATTCCTATTTTAGGACAAAATAATGGCCAACACGCTAGTTCCTCAAATGGTTAATGATCCGTCATACAATTCTTACTTCATTCATTCATACACACACATTTTGGTTTGAATTTTCCTACTATAATGTATCGTTGCATTGAAAAATATAATTTATGATTAAATGGTAAATTTAAACTATAGGCCTAAGACCATTTGACCTTAAATTTGTTTTTGATGTAATGTTCCTCTTTAATTTTCAAAAATATTATAATATAACTCTTACTGTTAACAAAGTTAAATTTAACCATTAGTTGATTAGAAAACGATCTTAAAAATTATAAGAATGACTAAAAAAATTATAATAAAAGACCAAAAAATACTGATAAAGACAAAAAATTGCAAAAAAGGAAAAGGAATATTTTATTGATCCTTTTTTTTATAATTTTTGAGATCTTTTTTGTTCTTTTTTTTTGTCAATTAATGATCAATATTAATTTTTATTAAAGGTAAGAGTCAGATTGTAACATTTTTAAAATTGAAAAGAAACATTGTATTAAAAATAAGTTTAGAGTCTTAAATTTAAAATTTAGCCATCAATTTGCTCAATTACTTTATAATTTAAATTAATTAAACTATATCATTGTCAAAATAATAACGTTAAAAAATTTATATATACTCCCCCCATTTAAAAATGTAAAACATTTTTAATCGAATCTCACTTTCAATAAATTAGTTACCTGCTTTTCAACTAACCTTATTTTTTTTATATTTATCTCTATAAAACACTCTACAATAAATATAAAGTCATTATCAATAGGGATACTTTTGAAAAAAAAAGCAATGATTACAATTTGAAAGATTAAAAAATATCTTATATTTTTTAACATCCAACTCCTTAAAAATATCTTATATTTTTTATGTATGAGTTTTACGATCATAAATGAAAACTTGTTACTTTTATATCAAAATAGCTTAAATTATTTTGGAATGACTCATCATGCTTATATAGCTGTGATTAATTCTCACATTACTTAATGTGAGACTATCACACATAATATTTTTCTTACCTTTTTTCCTTTCATTTACTTTTTTTTTTTGTCTTTTTAATATCAATTTTTTTAGTCCCAAATCGGCCCAAGTCCGATACCATGCCATGTTAGAGTCTTATGTTAATTATAAATTAAGGTATATCAAGCTACTCTGGAAAGACTCACCAAGCCCGTAATTATATAGTTGTAATTAATTTTCTAATTATTCGATGGAGGTCCATCACACATCTAAAATATAATTAAAATTATACAGTGATTTTTAAATAAACGAAACTGATATTTTAAATCAAGCAGAAAAGTTAAATTAATACATAATCACAATATCCACAAAAGCACTAAATCGCACAATCCGTTAACATATTCATTATGCCCAACATGTCTGGTAGCTAGTTAGGACAAGAAATCCTCTGCTAATTGCTACGATTTTATTTATTCAAAACTAAAATAGAAATAAAAAGAACAAATGTGAACTTAATCCACAGTACTTGTGTCTTGTAATTACCTTCTCTGTGTTCGTGCCTTTTATATTTTTATTCTATGCACCGAGTTAATCCAGACAAGTCATCCACTTGGAGCTTACCCTATGACCTAGCATATTCTTTGTAGATATTTTTCACCATATTTATCCTTAATCAATTAATTAATTATGAGTTAATCCTAACTCCTAATCTTAACCCAAAATCACCCCCACACGCAAACATTGACATGTCGGTATACAGAATATAAAAACAAATTAAAGCAAATAAAATAAAATAAAACATTATACAACTTGGCTGCTTCTTTCTAGCATAGTCTAGCTGTAAAAATTCAATTCAAAGACGATCACTCTGTTTTCTCAACCCCTTTCTCTCTCTTAAAAAAAAAAAAAAACACCGCCAAATTCTCAAGCTACAGCTCCAAAAATTTGCTTTATACCATCACTTTTAATTAAATTTCAGAGTCACAAAAAAAAAAAAAACAAGGTGTGAACGCACGTTCACCCAAGATCCCCAGAGGCGGCACTTCCCCAAGATGATAGTTTTTTTTTATGTTTTGGGAAAGTGATTTTCTACTTTCCGGGAAAATAAAAATCGAGAAAAAAGGAATATGTTGATTTATTATATTATACGGAGAATTTTGTGAGGAAGTTGGTGTATGCATGGTGGATCATGGATGGTTTGTGTCAACTCAAGCAAGTAGTACTTTTAACGGTGGCTCAAACTCGTGCTTGAATTATCCTTCCTCGTGTATGTGTGTGTGTATATATATTTAAGCGTTGCTCTTGATCGGTGATATTTCGAACGGGTCTTTGGAAAAAGACCAAATAAATTCTGGGGTGGTTATATCTGGATCTTAATTTTGATTTTCTGGGTTTGTGTTTCATCTTAACAAGAGAGAGGGACAATTCATTTGCATGTTATTTCAAACGGTGGCGCACCAACAGGGGTCAGGCGGGTTCGCGAGGTTGACGGCCCATGACGGCGCCGCAGATGGGGAAGAAGAAGCACTGAACAAAGCTGCGGCGGCGGCGGCGGCGGAGGCTGCTGAGGTGGAGGAGGAGGAGGAGGAGGCTGTGTTTGCTGGATATAGCAGTAGCAGGGCGGGCGAGTTGACGGCGATGGTTTCGGCGCTGACGCACGTGGTGTCAGGATCTGGTGGCCAGAGGTGCACCGAATGGATCCCTGTGGCCGTGACGTCAGCTCCTGGCCAGCCTTCTCCTTCTTCTGCTGTTTTATCGCCTTACTCATCATCTTCTTCCTCATCATCTTCTTCATCTTCTTCTGCTTCAGGCTCTGTTTTGAGCTCTGCCTCTGGTTCCACCGCCTCCCTTGTTGGCCACAAACGAGCACGTGACCAACACAGCTCTGTCTATGGAGCTTTCACTGACTTCAGAGTTCCTTCTCAGGGACAATCATCATCAGGTAGTGCAATTCCTTCAAACGGACACACACACACACATGTTCACATCACATTACTCGAAAAATAAGCCATGGAACAGAGTGGGAGAAGCAGAATCTTGAAATGGTTAATGTTTTATAGGAAGTGTTGTTTATTTTCATTTACAGTGGTGGAAGAGGGTTCGAATGTGGCAGCCGGAGCAGTGGTGGAGACGATGGCGACGGCGGAGGGGAGTGGGGAGAGGAGGAGGAGGTACAGAGGAGTGAGGCAGAGGCCATGGGGGAAATGGGCGGCGGAAATTCGCGATCCTCACAAGGCGGCGAGAGTCTGGCTGGGGACGTTCGACACGGCGGAGGCAGCGGCAAGAGCTTACGACGAAGCTGCATTGAGATTCCGAGGTAACAAAGCCAAACTGAATTTCCCAGAAAACGTGAGGGTGGTGCCCCCTGCTCAAAACTTTCCGGCCACTCGCCTCGCCGTGTCGGATTCACCGGCGACTCTTTTCCAGCAACAGACACCTAATCTTCCTCCTCCTCCTCGCCCTCATCCTCCCCTGCAACCACCGTTCTTTCAGTCACCGTCTTTTCAGACGCCGTCGGATTCCATCAGAGACTATTGGGAATACTCTCAGCTTCTTCAGAGCTCTGATGACTTCCTGCAACATCAACAACAACAGCAACAACATTCGAATTTGCTGCAACAATGGATCTACAATTCACAATTGATGGCGCTTCAATCATCTTCCATGTTATTATCGTCGTCGTCGTCACCCCTGTCGTCATCTTCCTCGCCAACAGCATTTTCACCTTCAAGTCAGCTATCCTCTGCTTCGTATCCCCTGTTTTCCAGTCAACAAGTAGGATACTTCCGGCCACCGGCAAACCTACCACCCGGCGGAGGCGGTGACATCGGCGGAGGGTCGGACTTTCCGGCATCAACTTGGTCAGATACCAGCGGCTTCCCTCCTCCATCCGGTTCAGGCTGATCATACACAGGAGAATTTCTTGTTTCTTTTTTGTTAAAAGAATTAAATACATAGTTTTTTTTTTTTTTTGTTTTACTTTCTAGCAAAAGTTTAACAAAACATTCTTAATATTATAATTGTTATAGACTTATAGTTATTGTTTTAAGAGAATTCTGAAATTCCTTAACCTTGCAAGTAGAAGTAGATTTCAGTTTTAGTTTAGGTGTATTTATTTTTTTATTAATATTAATAATAATATATATTATATTTAAACAAAGGGGTTGGGAATAAAGAAAAGGACAAAGCAGTATTGAGTTTTAAATTTTGAAGGGTTTTAGTGATGTTTGTTTGCTTATTCTACGGATGAAGCATACGGTTTTTACCTAAGTTGTCCGCAATCTGCTTTACAGCCACAGATTTTTACTATTATAATAATAATTGATTGTGTACTTATCTTAATTATGCTTAATAAATTATCCTCTTTTTTTATTATTCGGTAATAAATTATACCGATGATGTGACTATGCAGATGATCATGATCCATTCTTTAGCTGTTATCAGTGTTTCTCTGGTTTTATCACAATCTTGTTATCTGAAAACAACCCTTCCTATTATATTATGATAGAAGAAATATATTTTCCAAAAAGAATTATATATTTAATTTCTTGAGTCCGAAGTAAAACTTTTATTACCAACGGCTTTGTAAATATATAGTAAAAGTAATAAAACTTTTAGCAATATACTCACTTCGATTTCATTTATGATTTTATTTATAACGCATATTTTAAAAAATTTATTTAATTTTATTTATCAATAACGGTGTGGCTTTTTGTATAATATTTAAAATATATTTTTAAAATTATTTTTTATGAAAAAGAAAAAAATAACATGACATTATTTTTTAGATTTGTTATATAAGAATATATTTAGAATTTTTCAATTTTTATTTTTTTTATTTTTTTACATTGATATTAATGAGATCGATATAAGTGACTTATAAAGAGAATTAAAGAAGTATGTGTTTATAAGTGCATGAATTTAAACTTGAAATCACTTATTCAAATAACAACAAATCCTACAACTCATGCCTACTTGAGTTAGTTGCATGTTTTGTTAATTATCACTACATGTTTTTGCTATTCAAAAAATAATTGAATATAATTCAAATCAAATAAAAATTACAAATGCATAATAAATTATTATATATATTTTGTGCATATATAGATGTATAAATATCTAAACAAAACTTAATGAAAATCACACACATACATACATACATACATATATATATATATATATATATGAAATAATAAATATAGTATATCACCTTTTATTTCAAGCATTGATGTGAGATTTATTTTCCCTACTATACCTACCAAACAAGCCACTGTAGTGGGTTGTTAAAATTCCCTGGGAAATCCAATTCCTTGTGCTTATTTTTTCCAAACTTAGAACACTGGGTGGATCAGTCAAAGCATTTTGAATGATTCTCTGTTTTTCTTCAGAAAATTGAAGAGGTAAGTTATATGGGAGGAGATTGGATAGATAGAATTATACACAAAGACAATCAAACTCGTCAAACGATTAGTTTTGAATCCATCATTATAAAATGAATATATTGCTGATCATTAATTTCAAAAGCATCTTTAATCTTTGAGTTGATCAAATTTGAAACTCTAGGTAAAGTAGTTTCAGTTAGAAAACTTTTTTCAAGAAAATTACTCAAAAGCTTACATATGCATTCACTTAGCTTAGTTATATTCAAATCATATATAACGAGTTTGTTCTTACTTGATCTCTGGGTGACTTCTCACCCTTTTGAAACCATGTTATGATATAAAAGATGGCCTATTTTTAGGTACAATGTATGCTTTTTTGATTTTCTTTATAAGTTATTTTTATCAATTTTATTAATACTAATATAAAGAAGTATAAGGAAAAAATATATACAGAATTTCAAATACACTCTTATATAACAAATTTAAAAAGTGATATCATATTATTTTTTCTCTTCTTGAAAGATAATTTTAAAAATATTTTTAAATATTATTTAAAAAGTCAAACTATAACTTATACTCTCTCTATTTAAAAATGTAAGGCATTTTTAAGGAAATTTTACCTCAATAAAGTAATTATTTACTTTTAAACTAACCTTATTTTTTTATATTTATCTCTGTTAAACACCTTGTAAAAGATATAAAGTTATTATCAATAGAGGTACTTTAAAAAAAAGGTAATGATTATATCTTGAAAAATTATAAATACTTTATATTTTTAAATATTTAACATCTTAAAAGATATTTTATATTTTTAAATAAAAAAATAAATGAGATCAAATAAATTTTTTAAAATATGTCTTATAAGTCCGGTGATTTTCACATGTATATGAAGTGGCGTTTTGTCAGCTTCAATCTTGTTTTGTGTGCCAAACGCATAACTGGTGAAACAAAATCACCTCAAACATGTTATCAGATGTCATCCCAAACATAACTTTAATGAATCGAAAACCGTATTTGTTTTTTAGTACTTATATTCCGGATCTCTATCGAGCTCTTATTCATATGATTCAAACAATGAACATAAATCTATCTGTATTTCCGTTTTGCAATAAATATATATATTTAATTATTACAAATTGATCGTATAACTGAAAATAAAACGTGCCAAATCTGAATTTAATTATCTTAATTAATCATGATTTTCGTTTTTGTTTTGTTGTTGGTAATGATTTGTGTGCGCACCATCTTGTGTTCATATTTGTGATGTGCATGTTCAAAACCCTGGAGTTTCCATTTCAAGTAATTATTATGTAGACTCATGTCTATAGTTGACTAGCCACCTTTGAATAATATCAAAATTAAAAGCCTTATTTTCAATTCAGACCTAAGCAGGAGCCAGTTTTATATAAATTATACCAAAAAAAAGACAAAGAAAACATCCGTTTGGTACACAACACATACGTACATATGCAACCCTGTGTTTATGTGTGTGCGTGTGTGTTTTTTTTTAAATTATTAATAATATATTAGAGAAGAGTACAGTAGAATCCAAGTATCGAACGCATCCCTGTGTTAGTAATTTAATAATACTGTCGATGCATGTGAAAGGTCGAGAATAATGTATATTAAATTATTTATTGATTTGCTTTGTGGCTTTGTGGTTCTTTTTAATATAAATTTAATTTAATTAATAATATTAATGTTAATTAGAATGGATTACGTGAGATTAATGTTCACGTCTCATCAGAGTTATCAAACGTCGTTTTCTCTCTTCTCCTCTAGAACGTAACTTCACCTAGAAAATGAAAAGCACATTTCTTTTCCCTTCTCGATCGGCCCCTCGGAATATTTTTGTGTTCAACATAAAAATTAAATATACTTTTTGCGTGTAGGGGTGAATCAAAATTTTGATTAGAAATTCATTAATATTTTAAAAAATATAAACTGTAGAATTTTAAATATATCTAACTAACTAAAATTGGAATTGCAGGTTGATTTTCTTAGCCCAAAGGTTTAAACATTATGGAATTAAAAACCCACATTAGAACAATTATTTCTTGCTTTCAAAGCAATAAAAAATAATTAAATATCAATAGTTGATATTAAAAACTTATTTTACCAACTAAATATGTTAGGTTATAAATTGTTTATATATAAATTATACCAGACTATAAATAAAAGTAAATAATTTTTTGAACTTCGATAAGTGATAGAGAGCTCCGCTGGACGCTGGTTGATTTTTATTTTTATTTTTTTGCCCACACTCTTAGATTTGGAAATAAGAGCTGGGCTTGAAGTTTCTGTTTAAATAAGGGTTTGGGTTTTAAAAATAATTTTTTTTAAAGTAATCAGGTTTGAGGGCTTAGCCCTAATAAACTCTACAAAAAAGGGCTTGGGCTCGGGTAGTCCTTCAAACCTTGTTATATTATTATTATTATTTTTTTTGGTGAAACACGTGTTTGAAGTTAATGACCCACTCACTTAATCCAATACGCATTATATTATTATTAATTTTAATTTATTCTAACATTAATTTAATATAATTTAATAAATATTAGTGTATAGTATAAAATTTCTGATATTTTTTATTTTTATATAATTATTACGTTTGTGTATTTATAAAAAATAAATTATTTTTTAATCAAGATTTAAATTTTATTATTAGACTTCTAAATGTATATTGTTTAATTTTTAAAAAATTATGAAGATTTTAATTTCTTTTAATTTCAAAATATTTTAATTAATTTATAATGTTTAATTTTTTTTTTTTAAAAAAGACTTGCGGCCCGACCCTGAACCCTTCACATAAGGGTTGGACTTAATAAATAAGGTTTAAAATGAAAAACTGAATTTTAGGACTCAAGCTCTTAAAGGCTGAGTCCATAAAAATTGAGTCCATTCATATTCTCAACTCTACACACTCTAGTAGGTAGATGTAGAACCGACATCATCCATATCTACCATTTTTTTAAAAAAATAATTTTTCAATATAATATGCGGTGAAGTGGGTGTCCACGTGGAATCACATATAAAGATGGACCCAGAAGATCAACTCCAAGACTTACGTGGAGCCCACAAAATATGTGGCAGTGAAGACAAAAATGCATGACGCAATGTAAGATCTTCAATATTAAATGAATCCATATAAAATTGTTAATTTTTTAATTTAAAAATAATTATCTCTCATAATTTTATTTATAAATTATTTTTAATATATTTAATTAAAATAATAAAATTTTAAATTTTATTAAATTTATTTTAATTTTTAATAAATTTTTATTTTTATTTTTAATAAATGTTCTTAAATTTTATTATTAATTTTTTTATTTAAAATATTTAGTAAGAGAAAAAACGTAAAAAAATATTAAAAATTGACAAATATATTATAAATAAGATTAAATTTTTTTCTCTTTCTATCCTATTTATAAGACCAGAGGGGTACATGAAAATTAAAAGGCACAATTAATGACCCCTTTGTTTCCGGTTTTCTTTTTAATGAGAAACTTTTTTATTTAAAAATAACTAATTAATGATTATCTTTCTATTGTTATAATCAAATATCAAATAATATTGAATTTTTATAAAATCTCTAGAAAAATAATTTTTTTAAAAATTTAAATTATTTAAAATTATTTATTCTTTTAATCTTAAA